AGGATGCGCGCCGCTTGATGCTTCCCTGTGAACAATTGGCATCATTGGGGTACCCATGTCTTCCAGCAGTGGCCAAAGCTGCACATGTGGATTCTCAGCCAAATTATACCCAACCACATGGCCAAACATTCAGTGTTTCAACATTTCTCCCAGTTCTTGCAGCACCATGCAATGAAAAACACATCATCATCTTGCCCAAGGATCTTATTGATCTGAATAGCTACAGCAATGCAGCAGTCAGGAAGATGGCTGGCAACGGCATGAACCTTTGTCAAGCTGGGTTTGTACTTCTCATGTGCATTTTGTGTGTGCAGGACAAGTAGTATGTTCTGTGCGCAACTCTGTTCGCTCTTCGAACATGGCTGCTTAGCGTGTGTACTTGGCAACCTCGCCCAACATGGAAAAAAGGCCACAACCTCCAGCACTCCACATTTAGAAGCAATGTGGATTGGGTTAAAATCAGTTTTTCAGAGATGTTTATTTGTGATATGTTCCTGCTAGCTCAAATGCCACCCTTTGGTGCAGAACCAGAGGAGAAGCAGTCTCGCCCCCTGAGCTTTCTCAGTTCACGCCATGCCCCCAAGCCTTCGAAGAAGCCATTGAGGGCATTTGGCCTGGAGCCTGCAGAGCAGTGTGAAACAGGCACTGCGCGACCTCCAAACCCATCACCTGTCGTAAACTCACGTAGCCTGCCTTTCCAAGACGAGCCTGAAGAGTCTCAACCGGTGTCACAGCTGAAAAAACAAAGGAGGGATCAGGGGCCTGGGGTTGCCCATGTGTTGTTTGGAGAAGAGCCTGATGAAGATGAATCTTCATCTTCAAGTGCTGTGGATCTACCCCAAACTGACACAGTTTTTCCTTGGGGTGGAATTCCGTCTCCACCTTCACCAAGTCCGCATTCTGGAAGGAGAACATGGATGACAAGAATAGTGTCAAGTTGAAGCGTGCGTATGACAACACAAAAAGGAGTTCTGAGGCTGTGTACGCTCGAAAGGAGACAGGTGCACATCAAACAAACGGTGTTGACCCTGCCAGACTGCAAACCCTATTTGGGTTGGATTCCTGTAAATGTGCCCTGTTTGCACACAGTTCCCTTTCATCTCAACATATGATCCACTGACCTAAACATACACATATCTGGACACCTTTGGATCCACTGACCTAAACATATCTGAGGTGCTGAAAAGACATGCTACAAGCAGTTCGCAGGATCGAAAGACTTCCAAGCCTTCCTCTCGAAATTCTGGAGCTTGCAAAAGCCCGATCAAGACGGCCTAGCAGCTCCACTGCATCAGGCAACAAACTGATTGACCCAGTATTGCCACATATTGACACCTTAATATGAGTTCACTCACGAGACTCACGTTAGTGTTTTTGCCTTCAAGCATCAATTCTGAGTTACAAAGTGCTTTTTCTGGCAATGGTTCCAACTCCATCAAGTACACTCTGCTGGAGAAGGGAGTTGGCCCTAAATGCTTGGCCTGTTTACTTGGAATTGGCCGTGGGAGACTGGGGAGAACGTGTGTTGGTGCACCTGATTTGCGTTATGGGAAGAAGGTGCATGAATCAAAGGCTGGAACCTGGTCTGTGGACGCCTTTCTCCAAGTATCATATGACGCAGTGGCAGAGACCCTGCCAGACCGGTTCCTTAACAGAATGTTCTTTAAAAGCTAATGGAATAAACTAGATTATAATAGAATGTTTTTGTGATCGATCTTATGATTTTTGGGGGTTGACACACCCTGCTTTGGGCACCTAGGTTCATCAGAAGGGGTCGCGCTTCTGTGAGAAAAAAGGATCTAGATGATGATGGCAACAGTGATTTCGAAGAAATCGCTTCTGACATTGAGAACACTTCTGAGTTGAAGGAATGGCTGTCAACCCAGAGTTTCACTACAGGACGGTTGCTTCCACAAGAGTCCCTGGTAAAGAAGTTCCTACCGCCTGGGACAATCATGGACTTGTTTGAACACTACAAAGCAACACAATCACTTCTCGGAGGCCCCAGTGTGTCGCAACATGCATGCAACAAGACTTTACTTTGGTACTTTATGTGGGTTATCTTTTCAAGGAAAGCCTCACTGACCAAAGGAAAAACTCAAACTGGCGCCTGCAAGCTCAGGTACTCGACTTTCTTGCGCGTGTACCAGGATCGATGGAAGGACATCCTGGGATTCCGCCAGAAGACTTTGTTCACAACCTGTGAGGTTTGTGCTGTTCTCAAAGAACAACTTAGTGACAAGTCCATGAGCCTAGAACAGAAGTTGGGCAGCCTGGAGACATATCGTGCGCACCTGCATGCGCAGTATACCGACCGAAGCATTCTGTGGCAACTCCAGGGTGAATCAGCTGACCCAAACACTGATATACTGCTGATATCCACAGATGGATTAGACCAAAGCAAGTTTTCCTTGCCACGGGATCCAATGCTGAAAACCAATGCAGCTCTGAGCTTTGGACTAAGAGTTGCAAAGTGCTTGTTGTTTTAAGTGGCACATTGTGACACACAAGTATACTTGGCATAAAACACTGTATGAAACCTAAGGAGCAAGCACATCAAACCGCGCATCAAGGTGCATGGGGCATGGCCTTATGGGTACACAGTCAATATATTTATACTTGACGAGTGCGCACGACACGACAGCTCAGCAATCCTGGAAATCCTTTCAGCTACCATCGAAGATGCCCCTTGATTTTATGTGAAAAGGTCTCAATTTGCAACCACCTTCCTTTGTGGACCAAAGACTGTATCTATCTATCACACCTTTCCTTGGCCCTTGCAAGGTATTCCGAATCTGCGAGGAAGAGTCCCGCCGCAAACCCTCTTGCCTCCTCATCAACGTTTCTTGGCAGAACCTGCAACCTCAGAGATGCACTCACAGATTGCACAATATATGTTGCTAGCATCTCAGGCAGATAACACTGTGAGAGAGGCAAAGAACCAGTATGTCTTATCATATATACATTTGCTGGTGGCCAAGCACCGCTTCCGGACTGGGGGGCTTTGCTGCCTTAGGAAGAGCCACACCCACTGTAGGGTGGGCATCTCATTGTGAAAGAGTACTTATTTTTATTCTTGTTCTGTGACATTGGTGGGCTAGGATAGGTTTCAGGATCCCAGCGCATCCAACTGAGATCAGCTGTGGGGCATCATCTCTCGAAGAGTGGGCTTTGAAGACAGTCTACAGGACCCAGGAGATGTGATGCAAGCAATTCAAACAGAATTGTCAAAAGGTAGCATCAGGGATTGGCTGGGTCCCTCAACCAGGTTGCGAATCAACAAGCTTGATTCAACTCGGTGTTGGAAAACACACCTAAGTGCTACAGGGGTAAAGTTGGAGGGTGGATTGTTGCGAGATGACACAGGGAATCATCTCTTCATCTGCCTCCAAAGACGAGGTGCTGGTATGACTAAATGCATGTGTTTCTCAAGAGTCTTGAGGTTCACCCTCTAAATACTGATGCACACCCTGTCTCCCTGTAGATGTCCCGCCGAACTTCTTGGACCAGATTGAGTCGGGATCGTTTCGTGGCCAGCCCTCTGACTATGATGTCATCTCCTTCATCAAAAAGCACATTTGTGATTCAAGCCTCTCGCAGCCCCCACTTCTCGTACTAACACAGCGTCGTGCTGATTCCATGAGTCTGGTCCCGCCAGCAAGGAACAAGTGTTTCGAATGCAACAGCTTGGGATTTGGGGGTTCTCAAACTGCTTGGAAGTAAGTCTCACATACTACACATATGACTTGAAGATATACATATATCATATATCATATATATATATATACAAAATATATGTTTGTTTTGATGTTTATATTTGGCTGTTCAAACCCTCCTGGTCCACACTGTGCCCACCTGAGGCATCCCAACAATCATTCTCCTGCAACAGCTTTGGCCTGGCAAAAGCTAGCAACTGCGGTGCAGTACTGCTACGGCTACAGGTACCAACGTGCAGTAGAATACTTGGAAGCCCTCAGTGCCAACTCATTTTGGGAGGATTCAACTCCAGGTCCCTTGCCATGGCACGAGAGTGATGCTGAAGCTGTTCAAATTGGCGGTCCCCGCTACGTGATGCATGATGCAGTATTGAACGCGTTGGCTCCAGCACAGCCCCTAAGGGCAGTGTTTGGGGGGGGACCGGCGCCACTAGATCTGAGGTCAAAGAAAAAGGGATGATGTGATCAGGCACCCCCCCAGGCCTGCAGGGTCCCAGACACAACCAGCTGCCCAGCTGGCCAAACCACACACCTGAGCGCAGCTCATTTTCCAGCTTCCCACAAAATAACCTCACTAGAGGAAATGATTCATTTTGGAAAGGCTCTCACATGGCAAACAACCTATGGTGGGCCAGGGTTTTCAATGCACCCATGGGCGCTGACCAGATTTTTTCAAGGCACCCATGGGAGCTGACCGGGGTTTCCGATGCACCCAGCGGATCTGACCAGAGTTTTCGATGCACCCATGGGAGCCAGTTGGGGTTTTCGATGTACCCATTAAGGGCCATGATATTGAAAGCTTTCAATGATTTTCAATATTTATCTCCCTACCCCTCATAATCCCACCGTTTTCGATGCACCCGGCACTGGGGTCGCAGGCTTTTCGATGGACGTGGGGTGTGGCTCGCGCACGGGTCGATGCACCTGGGGGGTGCAGGATTCTGGAGTCGATGGTGTCTAGGACCTAGACGCCATTGAAACTGACCAGCAACCCAGAGTCAGTGCATTGACTTTGGAGGCAGCCCCCAACATAAAAATCAACTGACTGTAGGACCTGGAGTCGATTGAAAAGCCTGGTTTTGGAGGGGGAGCATCAATTTTAACATAAAATCTAAACATGAAAATTGATGCTCCACCTCCCAAACCATGGTTTTCAATGGACTCTGGCACCTAGGGTCGATTGATTTTATTTTTGGATTTCAAGAACAGGATCGATGCACTTGGTCAGAGTCTCTCGTTGCGAATCCGCAGTGGATCAATCTAGGTGGAACATCAACCCTAGTCATGGCGCTGAGCACCTTCAAACAGAAGGTGGAAGAGCGCTTGAAGTCTGGGAGCCCAGGCGATGTCAGTGCTGGTCCACCACCAGCCAAGAAGTCGTGCAGCACCTATGAAAAGCAGATGCAGAACTTGCCGCCAGGAAATCTTGATCTGGTGAAGGAGCAAAGTTGGATCTTGAAAAGTTTCAAACAAGTTCATTGAACTTTGAAAACGTTTGAAAAAATTTTTCAAGACCACAAATAAGTTCTCATATTATAGTCTGCTATTCTCTTTCCAGGATTTGTATCTCTATGGGCAGTCCTTCAAAGATGAGACTATTGAACCAGGATCCCACCCAGCGTCTCTGGTTTTGGAGAAGTTGAACCATGTTGATGAGCACACTCGTTTCCTCTATTGCCAAGAGCTCCAGACTTGGTACTCTGAATATGCCAATTGGCGTGGGAAAGCCTACCTCTTCAAGGCACCCGGCCAAGAATCTTAGCCATGTTTACGAGGCCCGAAACCCAAAGGCCTCTGTCTGCAAGAAAGGAAGCACGCAAACCACCTGCCAACAGTTGCCATGGCAAGTTGCCAAGGAAATGGATCCCTCTATGGATGGTGATGTGATCAGGGTTCCTATCATTTGCTTGAAGCCTGACTCTTAACAAAAAAACTACACGTATGCAAAATAGATATGATTATATGTTTGCACATGTCAACGTCTCCAAGAGGTGTCTAATTGTCTAATGCGTACCTGTCCTAGGTTCGACAAGCCAGAAGATGGATTACCGTGTGTGGAGGATTTCTTGTCCACGTATGATTCAATGCTGTTTGGAGGGGTAGACTTGGCTCGGGAACCTCTCGACACCAGCATGCCAGTGCAAGGAGGACTGGGAAGTGCCAGCCACACAATGTCCAAGAACAACAAAGGCGTCAATTACGTTTTCACATTTTGCAACTGTTTGTGACTATTTTCGTGTTATGTACATGGCAATTTTTATAAAACAACCATACACTATATGTGTGCTGTGTGCAACCCTGAAGACAAATGGCCATGTGGGATTCAGTGCATGGACCAGGTGAAGGGCTGGACCAGGGCCTCGGTGATTGCTACGTTTTTGTCGGTTGCGAGCGAGATTGACATTTCAGATCCAGCAGGGCAAGAACTGTTGAAACCATTGGTGAATGTTTTAGACAAGTGTTGGATGGTTCCATGCCACGTTGTTTGGCCAAACTCTCAAAACTCTTTGTTGTTTTCCCCGTAGGCTTCTAGTGGTGCTTGTTGGTTGTTACTTGATGATATTTCTGGTGCACTCTGGCAACCAAGTTGACCTATGGCATGGATGCCACGAAAAGGAGCTTTCGAAATCTCACTTTGAGTTTCAGGGGGTCAGAGCGCCAACCACCCAACAGCTTGCAACTGGCACTCAGATTCAGCAAAATCATGGAGCTCAGAGAGCAACAGGGCTTGGTGCTCCCAGGGGCAACTGTGGAGGATCGTTTGGCAGAAGTTGTCCGTGATTTTCATCAAAGCCCTGGCCTACTTGCAAAGCACAGGCTGGATGAAGACAAGATGAAAGCTGTGCAGAACCTGATCTCGGGAACAACGCAGGAGGGGTATTTGTGAGTCAATGAAGATTAATGAAGGTTATGTTCTTTGAACATATGTTGGTTACACTATCAGCTATACAACATTCAACTCCACATGACAGTCATGTCAAATTCAGGAGACAAGGGATATCATCCGGGCTCATTGTGATCACCACCGCTGGCGGGAGTGTGCACTGTCTACGGAGCAGCTGAAGTCTCAGCGATGGTTGGTTGGAGCAACGCCCCGCAGTAGCTCCTGCCCTGCAGACTTGAAAGCTGCTCTCACCATGACAGAGGAAGCCCAAAGTCTCTTCATGCGACTTGTTGTGCATTGCTATTTGGAGAATGGGCGACGCTTGAGACCATCAGCGAGGCCGCGTGTCAGATGGTCCCCATCTGTGTTTGAAGCACATGTTGATTTCAGTTGCATCTACGCGGCGATCCTGAGAGAAGCCAGGGCCTTGGCATCCTTCACTCCTGAGAAAGAAGCTAGCATTCTCAAGGCCTTCTTCCAGAAGTTCTTTGGCTAAGAAACAACATATGTTTTTTTATTTGGTCTTATTTTTTTGTTTTTCATTTGATGTTATATGTCATTGGTTGCAGTTTTAT